ATCTCAAAATTTTGCACGGTAAGGTATAGTTAAAAGTTCACTATTAGATAAATAAGGACTTCTACTATTAGAAAAAAATTAATTTTAGTCATAATCTAATATTTTTTATTTAACATTGGTGGCGAAAGGATCTCCTTAAGAGCGAAACGGAAGGAAGGGAAAGTTTGAATAGAAGTATCGATTTTTTAGGTAGGAACTTGAAAATTGGAATTGGTACCACTCATCATAAATAATGTGTGTATAGGGGTTTTTGTATTCAAGGGGAAAGTGTGGGGTGAAAGTTTGTATGGGAATAACGTAAAAATAATAATAAAAATAAATAAATAAATGAAATTAAAAAAAATTGAATATAAATAAATAAACTAAAAATAAATAAAAAGAAAGACAAATAAAATAAATAAAAATAAATAAAAATAAATAAAAATAAATAAAAATAAATAAAAATAAATAAAAATAAATAAAAATAAATAAAAATAAATAAAAATAAATAAAAATAAATAAAAATAAATAAAAATAAATAAAAATAAATAAAAATAAATAAAAATAAATAAAAATAAATAAAAATAAATAAAAATAAATAAAAATAAATAAAAATAAATAAAAATAAATAAAAATAAATAAAAATAAATAAAAATAAATAAAAATAAATAAAAATAAATAAAAATAAATAAAAATAAATAAAAATAAATAAAAATAAATAAAAATAAATAAAAATAAATAAAAATAAATAAAAATAAATAAAAATAAATAAAAATAAATAAAAATAAATAAAAATAAATAAAAATAAATAAAAATAAATAAAAATAAATAAAAATAAATAAAAATAAATAAAAATAAATAAAAATAAATAAAAATAAATAAAAATAAATAAAAATAAATAAAAATAAATAAAAATAAATAAAAATAAATAAAAATAAATAAAAATAAATAAAAATAAATAAAAATAAATAAAAATAAATAAAAATAAATAAAAATAAATAAAAATAAATAAAAATAAATAAAAATAAATAAAAATAAATAAAAATAAATAAAAATAAATAAAAATAAATAAAAATAAATAAAAATAAATAAAAATAAATAAAAATAAATAAAAATAAATAAAAATAAATAAAAATAAATAAAAATAAATAAAAATAAATAAAAATAAATAAAAATAAATAAAAATAAATAAAAATAAATAAAAATAAATAAAAATAAATAAAAATAAATAAAAATAAATAAAAATAAATAAAAATAAATAAAAATAAATAAAAATAAATAAAAATAAATAAAAATAAATAAAAATAAATAAAAATAAATAAAAATAAATAAAAATAAATAAAAATAAATAAAAATAAATAAAAATAAATAAAAATAAATAAAAATAAATAAAAATAAATAAAAATAAATAAAAATAAATAAAAATAAATAAAAATAAATAAAAATAAATAAAAATAAATAAAAATAAATAAAAATAAATAAAAATAAACAAAAATAAATAAAAATAAATAAAAATAAATAAAAATAAATAAAAATAAATAAAAATAAATAAAAATAAATAAAAATAAATAAAAATAAACAAAAATAAACAAAAATAAACAAAAATAAATTAAAATAAATTAAAATTAATTAAAATACATTAAAATAAATTAAAATAAATTAAAATAAATTAAAATAAATTAAAATAAATTAAAATAAATTAAAATAAATTAAAATAAATTAAAATAAATTAAAATAAATTAAAATAAATTAAAATAAATTAAAATAAATTAAAATAAATTAAAATAAATTAAAATAAATTAAAATAAATTAAAATAAATTAAAATAAATTAAAATAAATTAAAATAAATTAAAATAAATTAAAATAAATTAAAATAAATTAAAATAAATTAAAATAAATTAAAATAAATTAAAATAAATTAAAATAAATTAAAATAAATTAAAATAAATTAAAATAAATTAAAATAAATTAAAATAAATTAAAATAAATTAAAATAAATTAAAATAAATTAAAATAAATTAAAATAAATTTAAATAAATTTAAATAAATTTAAATAAATTTAAATAAATTTAAATAAATTTAAATAAATTTAAATAAATTTAAATAAATTTAAATAAATTAAAATAAATTAAAATAAATTAAAATAAATTAAAATAAATTAAAATAAATTAAAATAAATTAAAATAAATTAAAATAAATTAAAATAAATTAAAATAAATTAAATTAAAATAATTTGAAATTGAATACAAAATATGTTCTTCGTAACTTATTTTGAATAATAGTTTAACTTATTATAAATTAACTTATTATAAATTAGATTACATTTACCCCTTTCACCTTACTATTTTATATTCATGTCAAAACAGACCCTTAACTTAAATATTCGTTTTTTAATAGACATTACCTCAAAAGCTAATCTAGAAAAACCAGAAACAGAGTCCATATCTCATAAAAATGTTCAAGATTGGATTGTTTAATTTTGAAAATTATAAAACAATTTTAAATGCCTCTGAAATCTTTACGAAAATAAATTAAAATACTTCTTGCTTTGTGTTTAATTTATGTCAAAACAACAGTAAACTATAAATTGAAATAAAATACGTTCAAATGAGTTTTACATGAAGATGTATTATCTGAATATGAAATCTTGGCAGCCAACGTGTTAAAATATGCTGTGAACCATAATTGCTTTTTAGTTGTAGACAATTTTAATATAAATGGTTCAAAATAGCACAAGACGTTTGGTTCAGGAATGTGTTATTTACATTGTCTAAAATATATAAATGGTTCAAGATAGCACAAGACGTTTGGTTCAGGAATGTGTTATTTATTTTGTCTAAATTATATAAATGGTTCAAGATAGTACAAGACGCATGGTTCAAGATTGTATTATTTATTTTGTATAAACTTTTTTGCTAAAAATTGTTTTTTTTGTTGTATATATTTCAAAATTAGAAAAGTTTTATAAGAACTTACATATATATGCGGCCAAATAGACGAAAACTCATTGTTTTCCTAGTGGAGCAGTTTTGTAGCAAACTACAATTGGCTCAGAAAAGATATAAAGATGTATATATATATATATATATATATATATATATATATATATATATATATATATATATACATGTAATCCACCATAGCGAAGCCCGAAAGTGCATATTTCGCGGTTTATAAGAAGCCCGCTGCAGTTTACCGAAGCCCAAAACGGGCTTCCTAATTTTTACAGTGTATATTCTAAAATTTTGGCAGAAGGTGCCATCTGTTTTCGGAATAAAAACTAGTACAGTTTATACAGTTGCCAATCTTATGAAAACTGGCGTTACATTTCAATTTTTCCCCACAGATGTCGTAAAAATGTACTATTTCTAAAATGTTAGTAGGCTTCTTAAGCTTGCAATATGTCTGCATATATACACTAGTTAGTTCATGCAAATCAACTGTAGAGGGCTTGTATATATACGTACGATCCTCAGGGGTCAATTCTACAGTACCGATTATATGAAGCCTTACGATTTGGCAGCATTGGAGCTGAGTGATATAATCGCTGATACTATGAAATGGTCTATTAATGAAATCGAGTGCTGCTTAGAATAGATTAACGATTTGATCTTTGCTGGTCATTAGGTTAAGATAAAATATTTGTCAATCATACTACATACTTGTATTTAGCAAAACTTGAAAAGATCGTGTTATACCAAGTGTACAGCAATCAATTTGTTAATTAAAAACATATTTTTTTATACAGGGTGTATCATAAATGTAAATATTTAATTAAACCTATACAGAAAACAAATGAAAATACGACTTCAGATGTGTTATACTTTAAAATTTTAGAAGTTATAGTTAAACAAGCTTATACAGGGTGTAATAAAATGATGTTTACCAAATTTAACCACAGTGTCTGGGATCGAAAATAATTTGATTCAAGCTAACTTGTTTACATTAGAAATGGATAGTAAAAAAACTTACAATTGGAATTTTAGGAGTGATTGTTTGATCTTACTAGAAAACGGCTTAACATATTTTTATAAATATGTTCATGAGATGTTAGTATACTGTGACCCATAAAATGAGCCAGTGGCGCTCAAAATTGTTTTCTAATTTTTTTAGACAATAAAATTTAGGTAAAAAGAGGACTCCACTGAATTATAAGCCCTTCAAGGAAGACATAATATTTACAATGACATTTTTCTATAGATCTTAAACCACAGAATATTTTTTTTACGATATTTTTTACTATTTTATAACTTCGCGTACAATTCTTCTCTTGTAATAGCAATAATCTATAAAGCTATCAAATAGTAAAAAAGCGGTAAAAATTATTCAGTAGATTATTAGAAAAAATGTTACTGTTTTTCTCATTATGACTTTTCTTCAGGGGCCTACAACTCAGTAAATAAGGCTTGCACTAACAAATACTAGGAGGAAAAAAAATTCAAAATAGATATAGGAGATCAGTGACGTCCTGTTTTTACCTAGATTTTATTGTCTAAAAAAGTAGGGAAGGGGGGGGGGGGGGGGGGGTCAGAGGTGCAGAACCCTTCTAAAAACTTTAGAATTAAAACAATTTTAAACGCAACTTACTTTATTTTATTGGTCTTTGTATACTTACATCCTATGTAAATTTTCATCAAAATATGTTAGGGCGTTGTGGAGTAAGAGCAAAATATCACTTTCAAAATTTCAACTTTAACACCCTGTGACAATTTTACTATCAATTTTTTATACAGTGTGTAACTTAAGTTGGAACCATATGGAAAACTTTTTTATTAATGGTTTTGTAAAAAAATTTATTCCTGATAAAAAGTTCTGCATGGTCTGAGACTTAAAATGCAACTATTAGATATCAATTTTACTCAAGAGTAAAGTACATTTATTTTTTACAAATACAAAATATAAAAGAATATAAAAACTAAAGTTTGCACTAAAAATTTGCACATTGTGTTAATAGATGTTTTACACTTAATTAACTTTGGCAGGTTTGGCATTGGGTTGGTGGTTCTTTCTTGAAAATATATTAGTGTGTTAAAGGAGTAGCCCATTCGCAGTCGGTTATCACCACTTGGTATCTTTGCTTGTAAGGTAGATATAGTTTCATTGTTGCTTCTGACTGGATTTCTTTAAGTTTGGACACTTTTTGATCCCACTGTTGGTGCCATATAGTTTTTGTATATTTTTTTATTACTGTTTTAAAATCGGTTGTAGGGATTTCTTCGAGCAATGGGATACTGGTGTCTGATACGGCAACTTGGTCTACTTTTTCATTGAGAGCTAGGTACTAATGAAAATCAAATACGGTTTAGAATGTATTAAAGATTTATCTTTGCAAGTCAAAAGATTATAAAGTATTATATCAGTCATACAGGATTGGTTAAATGTATCTTGAAAAACTTGAATTTTTATTATTTACTCATGTTATTCCCAATGCACACCAGTGTATTTGCCACTTGGTATCCTGGTTTGATTAAGGAAGTGTCTTTTAAATCAGTTCGTTAATTTTATCTATTCGTTAATAAGTTATTCTAATTTTCAAGACAAGAACCTTAATTTATTGTGTTGGGTTTGTCACAAATATATATTTTTTTAAATATGAGGTTGACAATTAAATAACGCGACTCCGCGCGTAGAAGGCGTCCGAGAGGGGTACGGGAGGAAACGAATTAAGCGTTGGATAGCTGAAAGTGTCTACTATTCCAGCACAAAAACATATTTTTGTCGCTGTACTAGTATTTTTCTATAAAGGTTAGAAACAAACGTGTTTTTTTCCCGTGTCAATAACAATGCTTGACGAAAAACACGAGCAACGGATCAATGTTAAATTTCTCGTTAAGTTAAAAAAAATACGAATGAGTTCTATAAGTTGTTAAAAGAGACCTGGTAAAAAATGTTCTCCATCTCGAACGCGTGTTTTTGATTGGTATGAACGGTTTTCTGAAGGCGGAATGTCGAAATCAAAATTGAAAGCAATGTTAATCGCTTCTTTTTACTTCAACGGCATTATGATGATTGAATGGGTTCCAGAGGGTCAAACCGTAAATCAAACTTACTAGTTGAAAGTTTTGACAAAACTGTCAGAGCGAGTTCGTAAAAAAGGCCGGAGTTGTGGAAAAACAAGTCGTGAATCTTGCACCAGGACAACGCACGTGCTTATAATGCGCTGTCTGTGAAGCATTATTTAGCCGCTAGGGGCACTCTAGTGCCGAACATGCGCCATAATCGCCTGATTTAGCACCCTGTGACTTCTGTTTCTTGTTTCCAAAGATTAAGTCTGCCTTAAAATTAACCCAGTTTGGAAGAGGTAAAGCGAAAATCGGCAGAGCTTCTAAATGTTTTTACAAAAAGCAAATGGAACGGTGTGTGGCGAGGGTAGGGGAGCATTCGATTGTAGAATAATTTTTAAAATTAAACTATTTTTCATAAGCAGTCTCGTTATTTAATTGTCAGATCTCTTATATACAGAAAATAAGTGAAAATCCGACAAAATCAGATGGCGTGGGATACTTTTTAAATTTTAAAAGATATTTTTGAACAGGCCTGTAAAATCGATCTGTATTTTATATCAACCAATTGGTTTGAAAAGAGCAAAGTTTAACCTTTTGAAAACCTCATTTAATCTTATTAATAATAGTGTTAATTAACACACCATGGCATTTAGGCTTAGCTAGGCACATTGTGCATCCTATTAAATTGATGGCCCATCTTAGCCTACAGATTTAATGTAGTTGATAACGTAACCGAGAGGTACGTCTCTTATATCGGCTAGTGTTAGCCAAAACTCACCGAACATAAATATTTTAATAAATAAGAGCGTCGAGCAATCGTAGAGGATATGCACGATGGTCTTATCTTCTTGTTTGCACCCCCTAGTATGCAGATGCTTTCGTACTTCAAAATGACCAGTCAGAATGCCTGTGAAGCCTGTCTACTCACAGTCAAATATTTGTTGGCTCCCTAGTAACTCTGCAGCATCTTGTTTCATCCCATTTTTCCTTGAATTTCACAAGGGAATGTTCTTTAGTTAGATTTTTCACTGCCGATTATCGAGGTAATGTTATTTTTAACAGACACGTTATTTGTGAACAGGTTGTAATTTCTGTGTGTTTATAAAATAACAGACCTGTTAAAAATAACACAGGTTGTCAATCATAACCCCCATTGTCAGTTCAAAAAAAGAGCCAGATCTAAAATCCTCATTTCAAAATATTAATCCTTAAATTTGGATTACGAATTTTGCTTTATGCTTCAGTTTTTTTGCAGTTTATTACTTAAAAATATGTTAATGTGTTAAATTATGAGGTCATCGTATTTGCATTCTGAAAAAAAAACTATCCATCTTGTTAAAAAGTGTTTGTTTAGTTAGTTTATTTTCACTGACAATTATTTATTTAATAACTCAATGAACTTGTACTCAATACAACAGTCATTTATATCTGTAGTTTACATATGTGTCGTTCTAAAATATTCCAGCTATCTTTTGACTAAGAATCGGCACTACCAACACATACATTGGCGGATCTACCATTTTCTAGAATAACTGTTTACGACGAAGCATTGGCGTATTATAATCATAGCATATAGTTTAAAACCTCTACAAACGTGACGTCAGATAACTCAAAGTTGTAAAAAATATCGGATAAAAAGATTTATGTTCTGAATTAAACCATAATCTGTCCTTGGCGGTCTCTATAGACTAAGAACTGAAAACGAGACACCAGACAACTCGAAAATTGTAAAATATACAGACTACAAAAAAAAATTAAAATACGCATATTTGATTGGATAACTTACTCGACATAGCTCAGTTAAGCATTTAACATGCAGTCAAATTTGCATTTTGCTCCGCGGTTCAATTCACGACAAATGCATTATTGTTTTATTAAAAAAAAAAACAAAAATTAAAAAAATACGTACTATTGTTATTTATTTATTTTAAATACATTTAATTGCATAATAATAATAATAATAATAATAATAATAATAATAATAATAATAATAATAATAATAATAATAATTTAATTATACAATATAATTATAACAAATAAACAATGGTACGTATTTTTACAATCTTTTTTGAAAAAAAAAAAAAAAGAATTAATTTGTCTTGAATTGAATCGCGGTCGCAAATTACAAATTTCAATGCATGTTGAATGTTTACCTAATTGAGCTATCGAGACATGTCAAATAAGTTATCTAATCAAATATATGTATTATAAATTTCAACGATAAAATTACAACTTTAAGTTGTCTGACATCTCTCTCATTTGCAAAGGTTTTAAACTATATTATTGCTTATTAAACATCCCACCAACCACTTTACAAAATTTCAGCTGGGGTACCACCTTGTAGCCCTAGCTCTCAGCCTACTAGATCTTATCGAAATTTAACCAATATTTATTATTCTCGCAAACTAAATTCTATTTTTGTTTTCAACCGCCAAATACAATAAAAGCTCAGTTTGCTTTCTGCTTCATTATTAATTACTATAAACATGAACAAAACCTGATGAAATCATTGAATTGGTATTCAAAACATATAAAGATTATAAAGATCGCTGTTGCGGGCTTCGTGTAAGCGATTAACTACATTAAAAACGTATATTACCATTACTGTAAGTTTGGCAACAACACCGGGCTTCATCAAATCCGTGATCTATACACAGTGTATTTAGCCGGACTTCCTAAACGCGGTGAGAAATAATACAGGTTTTATATACATATTTGCGTCTCTCCCCTCATGACCCGGGCTTCGCTGCCCGGTTAGTGCATCGTTGGCTTCGCATCATCCGTAGGGTAGGTATATATATATATATATATATATATATATATATATATATATATATATATATATATATATATATATATATATATATATATTTAAATAATTACCTATGTATGATCCTCACTCACATTCTAGTAAATAAAAGCCTAATATTAAATGTTACAAATAAATATATAAAAATTAATAAAATTAATAAAAATGTAGAAATGTAAGAATTTTACAGAAATTTTTTAGTCTACACCAAAAATACTTATGTAAATAAATATTGTTTTCTTATATTGCCTCAGAGGTATCGTAAAGTCAATATCAGTAGTTGTGTTAATAATATTAGCTAGTTGCAACATGGCTTCCAGAGGAGAACAGTAACCCACTCTCATTTTTCCAAATAACAATTTAAAACGAGTGCTTACTGATGGGACTTTAAATGGTACTAAGTACAATAAATCAGCAGATTATGCTATATTATTAATTAATTTGTATAGAAACATCATCATCGTTAACTTACGTCGACTTATCAGTGATATAATTTCAAATTCTTTGCGTAGTCTAGCCGTCCTTACAGTTGTATAATCCGGCCAACGATGATATTTTTTAAAATACAAATAGAGGAGATACTTATTTTGCACCTTTTCTATCGAATCCAAATGCACCTGCGATTGATTACCCCAAATAACACATCCAAACTCAAGTTTTGGTCTAACTAAGGTATTGTACAACATATTTATTGTTTTTATTTTTGAAAAATTAAACGACTGCCTAAGGAAGAATCCTAGTGTACGATTAGCACTTAACACTGATTTTTGGATATGCTTAATAAAAGAAAGCTCGTTGGTATAGATTATTCCCAAATCCTTTACTTCAGCAGATCTAATTAAAGTCTCCTGACCAATGGTATAATCAAAATTTATCAAATTCTTTTTTCGAGAAATGGACATAACACAACATTTGCTCACATTAAAACTTAACTTATTTTCTATACTCCAATTAAATACATTAATCATATCCTTTTGTAACAACACACACTCCCTAACAGTTTGAATCTTTCTAAATATCTTAAAGTCATCTGCAATCAATAAAAATTTAGAGTATGAGACAACTTCAGAAATATCATTAATAAACATAATAAATAGAATTGGGCCTAAATTAGAGCCTTGTGGAACCCCTGAGTTCGCATAGAACTTCCCTGAAGTGTTTCCATTAAATTTCACCAAAAATTTTCTATTTTGCAGATAGCTACTCAAAAGTTTTAATAAATTAGCGGATAAACCAAAATTGTGCAATTTTTCTAGTAATATTGTGTGATTAACCTTATCAAAAGCTTTTTTAAAGTCCGTGTAAATGACATCTAACTGTGATTTATGGTCAAATACATTAGTTACCGATTCCGTGAATAATAATAAATTTGTATCAATCGATCTGCCTGAAACAAATCCATGTTGTTGGTCTATGACTTTGTTTTTAATGTGATTATATAAATATGAATGTAGAACCTGCTCAAAA